GCTTTCTTATAAATCTCCCTAAGCTGCTCCTAGCTCAGCAGGAAGCAATGCCCCAATCACACAAAATAGGCAAGGAGTCGCTGTAAGTAAACCATCATTGGTAACAAGTAATTGATAACAGCACTCAGGATGCAATCATCACCAACTCTTCTCCTGGGTTCTTCCTTTTTCCTCCACCTCCCAACTTACCTGTTCATTTGTTTAGTGATGTCTTAAGATGACATCCCTAATTCCTGTTCACTCACTTCTTCAGCTGTTCACTATGACTCTAGTGCCCTCTCCCCTCCTTTTTTTTGAATAAATGAAAGAAACACTTCCATCTTCCATAAATAAATAAAATTCTGCAGTGTGATATTTCATCAGTAGAGGGAGGTGTGGTACTAAAAAATAAACCAAACAAACTCAACAACCTTTACAAATAAAAAAGATTGGATTATCCTCTTCTTTTGAAGGAGCAGAGCTATCAAGTTTTACACCCCTAATTTAGAGATGGCAAGTAAAAAGTAATCTTTTGAACTGAACTCAGAAAATGATTTAGTACTGGTGTAATATAAGAACTGAAATGTGTGTTTCCCCACAAACTACTTGGCAATTTCTCTACTGACTGAAATTCCTGATTCTGTAAAAAGCATCCTGCCTGCTTGCCTGCCTGTCTATCTATCTATCTTGACCACCCATCTTACCATAAGGTAATTCTGGGCAGCTTACAATATTAAAAGATAAAACTGTATATATAAAATACTACAACAATATAAAAATAGAAAAGACCATACCTAAAAGACGGGATGGGAGGAAGCAGGATGAGCTGGGGGAGGTGAAATCTGATATTAATCTATCAACCACCTCCAACATGAAGACCCTCCTGTGGAGCCCCAAGAGTTTTTAAGCTCTTATGGAGGGTCGGGAGGGTTGAAGTCAACCTATGGGGCAAAATGTTCCAAAGGACAGGCACAATGGCAGAAAAGGCCCTTCTCCTGGACTCCACCAGCCAGAGTACCCTGGCAGCATGCCTCCTCTGCTAGCACCCATGGGGAGTGGCCCAATCCCAGTGGAATGAGTTGGTCCCTTAAGTAACCTGGACCCATGCCATGAAGGATTTTAAAGGTGATTACCAACACCTTGAATTGCACCCGGAAACTGACTGGTATCCAATGCAGCTTGCTGAACATGATGCTACATGGGCAACCTTTGGGGCCCGAAAAACTGCCTGCACTGCTATACTCTGCACCTCACATGGACTTGCCCCACATAATCAATTCATAGGCAAAGAACGTTTCTCAATCAAAGGATTGCTATCTCAAACTCAGATTGGATTAAAATCACCCCAACCCTCTGCATTTGAGAAATTACTCCAATATTATTTGCTTGGGAATACTGACAAGGTCCTTAGAAGGACTGCTTTAAACGAGGCCTGCCTGCCATTGCATTCAGACAAGAAGCAAAAACACCTTCCATTAAAGAGGTACCCGCAGTCTATCTGTCAACATGATTCTGACTTAGTTTTTTAAAAAAACAAAAACCTAACGATTACATCCACTCTCTCAGGCTTTGTAAGAGGAATATTATCTATAATTGCTCGAATAGCTTGAATCTTAGCTGCATCCATTTGACTTAGCTACGATTGGTTCTAACGGCGCTCTGTTAGCATGCATTGGTCACAGCCAGCTCGAATACTCCTGATGTTGGTTTGCTAGGCTTCTTATGAGGAAAACTCACTATTGAGAACTTTATTGAAAATACCATTCTAAGAATCAATTTTTCGGGGCACAATGATGGCAGAGAGATAAATTAACTCTGTAGTTTCATTATTTTCAGACACTCAGAACATAAAAAGTTAAAACGACTCAAGCTTTAAAATGGCCTCCACAGACTCATCAACTGCTGATGCTAAAATATACCTGTGAGCTATTTCCAGAGAAAATGCCTTCAATTTACACGTTGAATACATTCCTCAACCTTATCTTTGAAAGACTCCATTAGAATTAATCAACAGGGTGGATTGGGCACTATTACTGTATACCCAACGGTATCTTGTAAACTAATGCCAGGTATACTTCGATCCACTGAATTCCAGTTGTTATTTTTTTCATAACCCACGCCAAATTGATGCTATACCTGGAAGGTACCTAAAAAGTTGTCTTCTTTAAGAACATCTCTTGTCCATTGCCAACTTCTTCCAGAATTTTTTTTTTTTTTAGCTTTCCACTGTAGCTGACTGCCTAGTCTTCTAAGCACTAACATGGATTGACCCTGCTTTGCTTTCTGAGATCACGATCTCTATCTAAGGTCACTTTCATTCAGGCATATTTTATTACTCAAGCCAAGTTACAACTAATCTTTCCAGGATGAGTTGTGAATAGTAAGTACTTATTAACCATTTGGTTTCCTGGTCTATCAACTCCTCTTATTTATTAATACAATACACTTTCACTTAGTGTGATCCATGCCACATCAAACCCTAAAAGATCACAATGCTCATTTTAATAACCACCATATTTTCTTCCCATGAAGTGCTGGACTTTAAGAAATTTGTGCAAATCTCACAATCAGTGAACTTATGCAGATATATTGCATAAGGGTCAATAATTTACCCATTCATCTATTTTCCTATTCTATTTGGTTCTTAAGCTTAATTTTAAAAATTGGGATCGTGTACCTATCTCTTATGAATGACTGAGTTAGGTTTTTTTAGTTCTTCCTTCAATTCAGTATATTAAAGTCCATTCCTTCCTCATCAGTCTTTGGTAAAAAGCAAAAGGTGACTTCATGAACTATTAAAGGAAAATTAAAGCTAATCCTATTCTAATTAAACCAACATTGGTTTGTGTGGCTGCAGCTGAAGGACACATTTTCATCCGTTTCCCCTTCCTCATATGCATTTGGGGAATTGAAGACCAGCCACACTTCTTTTTATCAAAATCCAGCTCTTCCTTCTTGATTAAAGTTACATGTGCTTTAGAGTACGTGGGTACTCTAGACTACATGAGTACTCCTCGATTTATGACACCCCTCCCTTCCCTAAAGCTATATTCAAGCTATATTCCAAAGTACACCCCTGATCACATTTTACAACTGATTGCAGTGCCCCATGATCATGTGACTGTAAATTACTTCAGCTTCCAGACAAAATTAGCCCATAGTGAATTATGAATTTGCTTAACAACTGCAATATTCGCTTAATGACAATGGCATTTGCTCAACAACCATCGTAAAAAAGTCATAAAATTGGGTCTGGTCACATGGTGGCCTGCTTTACGACTGTCACATCTTATGATCACAAATACAGGCTCAATTACAATCATAACTCGAACACTATCTGTATATAAAAAACACTTTGAGGCATATTTGAAATTTGAAAAATGTATATGCTTCTCCAAACTCTTCCGCCTGAGTACGTCTATCTGCTAGTGAAAAGGCATGAAAATGGAAAAATTTGGAGAATAGCGCATCTTTTCTGGAGCAGATAGGTTCCCTCAATCCAGAAATACTGCAATGTGTTTTATGTGTTTCACGTTAAACATTTATAATTTTTCACTGATGGAAGGAAAAAGACTACATAGATTAATCTTAGAAATATATTTTAACTAACTGTAACTGAAACTGTAAATGAAATCAACATTAAGGGGTTATTTTTAAGAATTTTATTAAAGTTTACTGTAAGATAAAAATACAAAAAGAAACAAAAGTTAAAAAGCTAAGAGAAACAAAGAGAGGGCTGCAAAGAGAAAGAAAAAAAGCAGAGACTTCCAACTTCTTTCAGTGCAACTGAATATCCTCCCCCCCAAAAAAACGAATTACAACCTCAACCTTTTGCTTCACATTTCTCAACATTTCAAGCCGTTTTGATAATAACAACATTATTCTAATTGTTAAAACCTAAAATAATCAAAGTTTCATTTTATCTCAGTTTGGAGCAAAAACGTTTTGATCTAGTCTCATGCATTTGTTTTGGGGGTATGACCCATGTCACTCAAAAGTCACACAGAGAAGCAGCTCTGCTTGTTTCTACATTCTCCTGGAGAATGTGACTACATGAATTGTGCTAGCCAGGTGATATATATTGCGAATTTCATTGCAATTAGCAAAAATAAGTTATCCTTGGCATTAGAAGCAAATTACGGTAAAAGTACTGCTGTCTGGATTCAATAAACTCCTTCTCCTGGCGAAGATGCCCTTAAGCAGGGGTGTCAAATTGCCGGCCCACGGGCTGGACACATCACAAGCAAACTGCGCCCACCCCATTGCCGGCAATGGGGAAAAAAATTCCGATACATCACGCAACGTCATGAGTTTCACATGTCTGCCTTACAGTGTATTTATAGCAAGCAATCCAAAGAAAAAAGAAAAAAAAATCCATAAGAGCTTCTACCATATGACTGTCAGAAAACCCTCACTCATGAAGTCGCCAAACTAGTCTTAAAGCAGAATGTTCCCTGTATAAAAAGCTGCCTTGTATGCTATGCAGGTACTTGGAATTCTTTGAAATGCAAATAGATATTGCATGAACTGGTCTTTTCAATTTCTATATTGCTTTCCCCTCACTAGGAGGTTTATAACATTTATAATCCATCCATTAATATTATAGTACCATAGTTAAAAATGAGGACTTTGAACTTAACATGATCTCACATCCAGAAGAAAGAGCGGACAGAAAAATAAGATCCGGACAAAACCCTGGACAATATCACTTTGTTGACTTAAAGTTGCACAGCCACCTGAGAATAAGCCTGGAGACCTCCTTCTACCTGATAAATATGGGCATGTTCACAATTATGTATTCTTATACAACATACACGATGAAATGAATAATAATTGCCTGCAAAGCACAGTACCCCATTTATAAAATTAACTAACCCCCAGCTTCAGGTATCTTATTTATAACATACATTTGTAAATAACAGAAAAACTCAGTTTTTGTCTATGCCCAGTGGTGGGATTCATCCAGTTCGCACCAGTTCGGCAGAACCAGTAGCTAATTCTTTGTTGCCCAGGCCCAGAATGGACTTCCAGAAGCGGCATCCACACAGAGAACCGGTTGTTCACATATTTGAATCCCACCACTGTCCATGCCCCTCTATCCAGCAATAAACACACAAACACAAACCCCAGGAGGAAGATGGGGCAGAGGAAGGGACAGCATCTCTAGGAAAAGAAAAGCAAAAGGGCAAAAAACATCTGGATGGAACAGAAGTTAAAAAAAGAGACAGAGAGAATCCTGCTGAAGTGTTGCAAAGGAAAAGAAAAAAGAAAAAGAAAAGAAAAGAAAAGAAAGGTTAAGTTCACCAGAGAAACAGACTTTTTTTTTATTGTTGTATTGTTGTAAAGGGAGAAACTGTTTTCCTGGAGAACTTAACCTTTTTTTGTAACACCTCAGCAGAGAACTCTGCAGTCTGTTGCATTTCTTGCCCACTTTTTTTATTTCAATAGTTTCAGTTCTTATCACTGAGTGTCAAATGAGCTGGTAATTTTGGGACTAGTGCATGTTAAAAAAAAAAAAAAACCTCTTATTCCCATCCCCTCAATGAACAACCATTTTTGTTCAGTGATTCTTCAAACTCACAACAGTGTTGAATAAGGGGGATAAGACAGATCCTTGCTGTTGCAGTAGTCGCATAAGTATCATTCAGATGCTTGGCAACTAGGGCTGGCAATTATGATGTTGTGGAGTCTTGCAATCACATGACTGCCATTTGCCACCTTCATTGCTGGCTTTCCACAAGCAACATCAATGGGGAGGCCCCCAGGAGCTCACAAACGGCGATCATATGATCTGGGACATTTGCAACCGTGTGGGACTGCCACAATTGCTACTGTAAGTCAGCACAGTTGTGGCATTGTGCTTTATATACTTAGCTTCAATATTTCAATTACCTTATTTCAGATCCAAACATAACTATACTGTGTCTACTGTTCTGAAGGTGCTTATTAACGTAACACTTATCAAAAGTGTTTTTCATTGTTTATGCTTAGTTTGGGGGGGCACCTACAATGTTTTCAGGAAAGATATAGTCCTCGAAGCACGACCACAATTGAGCCCAAAATTTCTGTTCCTAAGCAAGCCAGTTGTTAAGTGAGTTTTGCCCCACTTTACGACCATTCTGGTCACAGTTGTTAAGGGAATCACTGCAATTGTTAAGTTAGTACTACACTGTAAAGTCAATCTGGCTTCCCCATTGGCTTTGCCTGTCAGAAGGTCTCAAAAGGTGATGACAGGACCCTGGGACACTGCAACTGTCATAAATACATGCCAGTTGCCAAGCATCTGAATTTTTTATCATATGACCATGGGGATGCTGCAAAGGTTGTAAGTGTGAAAAACGGTCATGTCACTTTTTTTCAGTGCCACTGTACTTTTGAACGATCACTAATTGAATGGTTGTAAATCTAAACCAGGGGTAGGCAACCTTGGCTCTTTTAGGACTCATGGACCTCAACTCCCAGAATTCCTGAGCCAGCTTGGCTCAGCTTGGAAACCTCTCCCTTTCCTCTCAGCGTGGCTGGCTCAGGAATTCTGGGAGTTGAAGTCCACGAGTCCTAAAAGAGCCAAGGTTGCCTACCCCTGGTCTAGAACTACCTGTATTCCATACAATGGATCAAAATTATAGAGGATAATAATTCAGTTGTTGGTTCTAAAATCATGCCTTTCTTCCCCACTATATGTGGTCTTTCAGTGCCCCACAATGATCTACTCAAGGATGGCTCTGGATGGGATAGAATGTAACCAGAGACTTAGTAGCCCTGAGCAAGGTATGTTAATATGTTAATCATTAATTTTTTAAAAAAATAATTGTATTGAGAATTAGGAATGAAAAGAATAAAAATAAATACCAGATACAAAAAAATACAGAGGAAAATTTTAAAAAAAGTGTGATAAAAGGACTAAAAAAGAAAAAGAGGAAAGAAAAGAAAGAAAAAAGAAAAAAAGATTTAACTTCCCCCTTCATCCCAGCAAGGACAGGCAGCTTTAACAGTTTATCAGCAGCAGCATAATCTCTCTCTTCACCCTGTAGCTCATCTCTTAAGTAAAGAATATAATCCAAATGCACACAAACACTACATGAATTGTGGTGTGGATCTTTGTTTCTGTTTGGAGATGCTGAATTTGAGAGAGCCATTCAGTGTCTACTTTAGAAGATGGGCAATTTCCCCCAGTTTTCCATTTTCCAGTCATAACTCTGATTATTTTCTGCATCATATTTTTTTTTAAAAAAGCAACTCAAAAATATAGATAATATTCTGCAATATATGCAATTTGTATTAATGTTTTCCAAGAAATGAATGATTTGAAAGCTATTTCTCTCATATAATGCAGTTTCGTGTTTCTTAAGTCATATGTAGGCACTTTTGTGCCTTTGGGTGTTTTTGTGTTCCAAACTGCAAAGGAAAATTCAAAGTATTTTTGCATTAAATATCACATACAATGTTTGGATCTGTAAACTGCAGTTCCAAATTAAAATTATATGGCATTAAAATTAATTATGCCCAAATTAAAATGTATACTGAATAAATTGCTCCCTACCTTTACAACTGATTTCTGCGTACAATTCCACTGTCTGGGAGTGTTTTAATAAAAGACTTGTTTATTACAGAGACAGAAAATGCTATTTTTAAGAACAGGGATAGAATTGACAGTACAATTCTATGTATTCATTTGGAAATAAACCCCAGGGTATACAGTGAGTTATAACATATGTTGAGCAAGCCCTAATATAATCAACTGCATTTTACTTGAGGGTAAGCCTATTTGATAAAATGGGATATAATTAATTGTAATCATTACCCTTCCTAAAAAAAAGATAGTTCTCTCTACTAACCATAATTAAAAATGTAATCAAAATAGAAAATCACCACAAAGCAATTATAAGGGCTATAAACCTTTGCATTATGCAACATTCAGAGTTATTAGCCGACACCACTTTTTTGATGTAAAATTAATAGTAAATTGAAAAATCAATTTATTACAAAAACCGTGATTTTCTTTGAAGGTTCAAAGAAATGGGCAATGAACAAGACCAAATATATTAGGAATTAAGATCCAATGGCTCTTTATATTTTGACACTGGATGTGGAAAAAGCAGGTATTTATAAAACTATAAATTAATTGCCTACTGACTTATCTATTTTTAATTGTGTTCTAAACCTGTTACCTGAAAACACATGAGGACATGCAACCTAATGGTGTGACAATAACAGCAAACAGTAAATCAAGAAGCAAAGGGAAAAAAATAAGCCAAAGCTTAGAAAAGTCAAAGCATCAGACTTCAAATGAAAGCAGCCCAAAGTCTGATGATGTAAGAACTTCTAAATCTTCCCACTGCATCCATGTCAGAAAATTTAATTGAATCCACTATCTTCCCACTTTTGCCTAGTTACAATGTTTTAGTCAGTTCTTTAGTCTGTTATTGTTTACCGACTCTTCATGTGACATTGACCATTATATTATGAACTGTAACCAGTAGTATGCATCATGAAGCACCCAACATATTTATTGGTACAAACTCTGTCTTGTTATATAAGTACTAAAGACGTTGGTACTACAAAATCAGATTTCAGGAAAACATCATTATTTTATTCTTGATCAAAAATACAATTTGAAGTTTTCAATTATGTTGTCTCTGATCAAGAAAAGAAAAATGCCATTTAAGTACGAAACTAGACTCCTAGGCATATTTATTAATTGTTTAACACCACCCAAAGTCCAATGACAGTGTTAGAGGACACCATACTATGTGAGCTTAGTAAAGCTATCCAAGGAGGTGCATCAAAATTATACACTAATTCTTTCACAACTAGGTGTTAAAGCAATTGCTGAGCTAATTATTTACAGTAAAAGAAACTTTTGGCAGAGTTGGACCATATTTAATGTTTGTGAAGAGTTAAAGGCTTCAATGGAAATTATGCAAAGTGGGCAGCACCATCCATACACGAGGAACCATGCACATGGATAACCTTCATCAGCCCTTGGATGAAGTATCCCCTTCCTCATCCTGTTGGGCCCCTCACTGACATTGACATCATCAACCATGGTATCCTGCTACAACAGGTAGGAATGGGATCAACCATTTTACAGTGGTTCCAATCATACTTGAGTGGGCAAGTGGGCAATTCCAGTTAGTAATCATAGGGTGTGAGTGGTCAAGCCCTTGGTTGCTCCATTTTTCAGTGCCATTGGACTTGGCCCTATAGAATTTACCATTCTATAAAACCACTGGGAGAGGTTGGTTCAATATCTTGATGACACTCAAGTGCGTATCATAATACTGGCCTGAACTGGAGATGCTGCAAAGAATCTTCAATTTAGTTTAGCAAGATTTCTATCTGTAGATGAGGAACAATAAAGGTAACTGCTCAGAAGTAATGGTACATGTCGTTCTTGGTTCTTGGGGCCTGATAACAATTTTGGCAAACTCAAGCAACTATTAGCATCATTATAGATATACTCTGATAATTGCGAAGGAGAATGCTTTTCAACTCTCTTTCTCCTGACCAAATTATCTAAGTTCCACTGTCTCTTTGTCCTCTGGAATGTGATCTCTCTGTCCTAAGAAGCCAGACCACATTTTAATACAGCTTAAGAAATGGAGAGTTGGATCTAGTGTCAGAATCTGGCCTCCCGGTCACTTGGTTCACTGGCTCAGGGGTGTCAAACTGCCGGCCTACGGGCCGAATGCGTCATGTCGAAACTGCGCCCACCCCAGCTCCGGCAATGGGAAAAAAGTTGCAATACATCACATGACACGGCGAGTTTGTCACTCCTGCACTAGCTGATCGCAAAACCTCCATTTCACAATATTCTTGCAAGGAACAGCTGCCTGGAGCCCAAATAGATTAATTCTCCTTCAATCTGGAGAATTCTTCAGGCTGCAAGTGTCTTGCCTGAGCCCCAGGTAGTTGTGGGGCCCATTGCAAGCTACTCAATCCACCACATCCCCACCAAAAGCAAAACAACCCTAAATGGAAAAAAAAATATCTCAAGACATAGAGGAGCAGAATCATTTTAAATATGTTTTGTTTCCATTTTCCACTCATATTTTAAAAGATTCAAAGGACCCATCCTAATTTATTACAACAATAGAATTCTTAGATGCCTTAGGTTTATGTGCTGGATTAAAATAAAATAAAAAAGTTATTCTTGCAAAAATAAATAAATAAAGTACTAAGACTTCCCCCCAAAAAGTACACATTTTAACCTTTAAGCCGACTTTATCTTTTAGTAGGTTACTAAATACATGATTTTTTTTTTTAAAACGACCCTGATGGACAACTTACAAAACAGAACTGGATAGAAATGCCCCCATTTTCTATGGCTGTTTCCCTATTGCTTAAAGTTATTTGAAGAAAAGATTTTTATCTTTGGTGTTATTATTACTACTTCTGTAACTTTAAAACCAAAGCATCATAATTTTATCACATTCTGTGGAAGGGGTCTTTGGAATGAGAAGGTAGCTTTTGCACACTCCGTGATCACTTCTTTATTACAACTGATCCCTAAATACACCTGCAGAGGAGAACAATCTTCACTGTTTACAGGGCATTCCTATATGTGTTTTCTCAGAGCTAAATGTCAGTGTATTCAGGGATGTTTATTTAGATATTCATGCATATGATTGCTGCCTAAGGGGATGTAATAGAATCCAAATAAAGTGCGTCAGTCCTGGAAACAAATGATTTAACCTGCTGAAGTTCTTGATAAATTGTTTCTATCACCAGTGGAGCACCCTTGCTCGCTGGGGCTGGTGGGAGCTGATGTTAGTAACATATGGAGGATCAAAAATTTCTCATCTGCCTTGCAGTCATGAACCATTTCATTTGAAGTTAGAGATTTTTGTAATAAGCCATCTTTCCCGTAGTGCTCTTTCTCTGTGGTTTTATTTGAAACTTGATCTGAATCAGTCCTAAACATTATGTACCTGGAAAATACATGAATATATATGAAACCCAATCACAGAAGCTGAGAGAAAACAGGGAGAATGGTGTACTTTCCATCAACTCTTCCACTCTTAAATTTTAAGCCCTACTGTTTGTCTTTCTTTTTGTTTTGTTTTCTGAAAGCTCAAGAGTTAAATTATATGTTTGGATAATATGAAGTATGTTGATCAGCATGGCATTTTTCTTTCAGTTTTTACTTATTGTAATTTAAATGCTGTAGCAATACTAAAGAAGATATCATACCACATAATCATTTAGATTGATTGTAACTGACAAAGAAATAAAAATTAAATATCAGTACCAATAATGCTGAAACCAGGTGTATGGGGTAGACATACACACACACACACACACACACACGTGTGTGTGTGTGTTTGTGTGTGTGTGTGTGTGTGTGTGTGTGTAAAGTCTATATATAAAGTCTAAAGAAAAGAAGAAACAGGGGCGACATGATACCAGTATTTGAGAGGCTGCCACAAAGAAGAGGAGGTCAAATTATTCTCCAAAGCACCAGAGGGCAGGACAAGAAACAATGGTTGGAAACTGACCAAAGAGAGAAGCAACCTGGAATTAAGGAGAAACTTCCTAATAGTTAGGACAATTAACCAGTGGAACAGCTCTGCCTTCAGAAATCGTGGGCGCTCCATCACTGAAGGTTTTTAAGAAAAGACTAGACAGTCACTTGTCTGAAATGGTATAGGTTCTCCTGCTTGAGTAGGGGGCTGGACTAGAAGACCTCCAAGGTTCCTTCCAGCTCTATTATGTATATGTATGTACGTGTACACACACACACACACACACACACACACACACACATATAGTATGTGGATTTGTATGTGCTTGTGTGTATTTCTTAGAAAATTGTAATGAAATACTTCCTTACCCGGAGATATTATGTAGAAGAAATCTTTAAATTCATCCATCCACACTTCTGCAAGTCTTCTATTATTTTTGTTAATTACATGGCCAGTACCACCAGGAAATGTATAAGGAGTAGCTTTTCGAAAAACATGACCAACATGTGAACACGTTACAATCTCCAGGGAGCCTCCACACTGCCATATCTGAAATTTAAAAAGTAAATCAAAATCAGCTTCATTTTCAAGCATCTAATTAAATGTTAGCTGCTGCTTTATACTGGAAGGGCCACAATTGCAGCAATTAGTAAACTAACGTTAGTAATTAGCAAAGCTATCCATCCAAGAGTCAGGTATTCTGCAATGCAGAGAGGTTCAAAGCATCTCTTTTTGATTCATAACCATAACTGTATCTTTTACAAGCTGTTCAAAATGAAAGTATGCACATTCACAGAACTTTTGAAACAGTTCCCCTAATCTTGCAAAAGATGCTGCTACTTTAACATCTCATTCCCCCCCCCCATTTTTAGAACATTGAGGTTCCTGCACCAGCTCCATAGTTGCCCCCAGGAGTCAATGGGGACAGCCATCATGTTATCCATGGAATCATCAAGGGAGGAACAACAGAAAATGGTATAAGACAGCTCTATGGATATGAAAATTGGACTCTTAAGAAGCATAATATGAAAAGTATTGATACTTGAGAACCATGTTGTTGGAGAAAATGCCTAAGAATACCACTGATGAACTGATGGATCATTGAACAAATCAATCCAATGTTCTCAGTTGAGGCACAAATGACCAGCCTCATATTATCCTGCTTCAGACACATTATGTGAAGGCCCAACTCTCTGGAGAAAGCTCTAATGTTAGGAAAAGGAAGAGAATGACCAGCAGCAGGATAGATGGACTCAATTACAGCAGCTATAGGTACACTGTTGGAAGACTTAAAGAATCAGGTTGGGAACAAATCTTCCTGGAGAAAACCGATGTGGTTGCTAAGAGTCAGTGATAAAACTTGATGACACAATAATAAAAAAAGTAACAATCCTGAAACCTGGCTGCACTTTCCCTTCCCTCCTCCTTATCCCCTGTCTGAGTTTCTTCCTAATATTCTTTGTTTACCAAGTTCAAAACTTGTTTACGTGTATGTTGTTGAAACCTATCTGCATAGTTTCTCCAAGGTTATCTCTGTGGCTACAGAAGGATGCACTTCACATTTCCAGTGCTGAATCTCTAAAATTCCATCAGTAATTGAATGAGTTCTGCATCAAAGGAGAAAGAGGAAAGATTTCCACTTATTTACATAGCATGTCATTAGCTATCAGGCAACTCTGCTCTCCTTATCTTTTCCTTCTGCAGGAAGGTAAAGAAGAATTATCCCTGAAGTCTACTGTAGTCCTCTCCCCTTAGCACTGCCACCAATAGCCTTGGAGGATGAAAACAGTGGAAGGAATCCCATTCAGCTGGAGTCTTCCTCCCTCCCCAGCCATGGCCAACAAACATTATGTGGGAAGGAGCCAGAAATTTGTTTCCCAAAAATATTTCTTGCCTTTTTATTTACAATTCTTTATATTCATTGTACTCTGCTTTGGGTTGGTTGTTATGCAGAATTTGAATAACCGGAATAAAACAAATAGCCATAACTTCATCTTAATAAATACATTTTCACGTTTACCTCCCAGAAAATCATAAAATTAAATGCCACCGCACAAAATACTAGTCTTGTACTTGGCTCATAGAAAACATAATCTTGAACGTTACTGATCAGGTATTATGGACATTTTTAAAAAAATGTAGGAGACATAGCGAGTGATTTGGGCCATTGTATAAAGGTATCATTGCAATCAAAACAGAAGTGGATGGCTTTGCTTGGAATGTAATAAGAATAAGAAATATAATAATAATAAGAAACTCTCTTTCCTCCTTGCTGTTTTTCTCTTGTTATCTATTATCAAAAATACATCTCATCCCATCTCCACACATACAATTCATGCAGCAATGATGATGATGATGCCTTTTTCTTTCTGGATGATGACATAAACCTTTACTTCCCTTCACTAACATGTCCCAGCTTCTTTCATCCAATATCAAGAGATTCTGGCTTCAATTTCAAAATAACCCAGTGCCAATTAAAATGAATGAAGCTGGCTTGTAGCTGCTAAAGAAAATGATGCCTATAAACTTCAGAAATAGGTGAGATGATTATATAAGCCTTCAGTAATGGAGCTTGATGGATGTGGCACTCGAGAAAGGAAGGATGGTACAAGGCACCTAGTGGATATTTTTCATATTAGCAATTGATTCTGAAGCAGAGAAGGTGCTTTCAAGGGGATGTAGGCTAATAGGCCTCGCCATAGCCGTGTGATTCTCCTGGAGAATTATATTTGAAATAAGGAGCCAGTCCTGCTCAAAACACCTTGTTGCACCATTAGCATTTCCTTCAAACACACCTTTTCCTATAATTGCACGGCTATTGTAAGGGCTGAATTAAAAAAGAAATCCTTTTTTAAGAAAGTGACAACAAAACAGACATATATGCCCATATCCTCCGAAGCGCTTTTCTGCTTCAGACCCAAAGTGTGGCATATATCTAATGATAACGATATACAAGAAGGCATGAATAAATCCAGTCAAAGAGCTGATTTCAAAATACATGTTTTAGCCGAACTGGGTCAAAACTGGGAGGCAGACAAGTTCACCATGTTGTTAAGATGCTCAGTTCAACTCTACTTACTATATATTTGTACTGAAGGGCTGCATATGATTAAGGATCTATTTTAAACAAAATGTTTATCTATTAAAGCATTTGACATTCCAATGGAACACTGCTACAGTTTTAAGGAAAGAGTTGAACCTCAAAAGATGATTGGTATTAATGGAAATGTTGCTATAGCAACTGATTGCAGACTTTGCTTAATTAGAGTGAAAGCAATTAAACAGAAGTTAATTAGTATACCAAGAGAAGTAGTTGGGTTTGGTCATAAGAGCATCAAAACACATTTCCCATTTCACAGATAAAGTACAAGCAATCATGTCAATGTGAGAACATGATTAGCTTTTGGGGTACCACAGGAAATTGGGGGTGTGGGGTTTTTTTTTGGGATGGGTGACTTTTTGATCATAGTCTGTCCTATCAGAAGGGCTGTATATAATTCTAAAGCTGTAACAGAAATTCACAGGATATTGTAAATAGACTTCAATAGTGCTGCTCATATATTCTTACGATTAAAGAATAAATGTTGGGAAATGGATAGCACAGCTAATTACCAACAAGATTTTGAGCTGACTGCAGAGTGACATCATTGCAAGACCTTCTTCAGTTTCCTCTGCTGAATACTAAAGGGAGAGAAAATTTTCTGCGGATTACTTTCAACATGGAACTTCATCAGACTAGGCCTCATAACTTACACTCTCAGTTACTGGAGATTCATCTATTTATTTGGGACAATTGATTCACTACATTCTTTGGTTCTCCGCTGTATTATGCTTGGCTTGGTTTACAGGGCTGCTTGCTAAATTATTTCATCTTACTTATATTTCATTTGCCAGGCAAAGCCGCACTTTGTTATTGGATGTCTGATGTCTTATATTTTGCTGTGATTGCTTTGACATTTTCATGACTTATCTGAAAGAATAAGAAATGTTGGAGGCAATGCTGGTTTGGGGTCTAGGGCTTGAAAAACTGCAGCAGAATATCAATATTTCTATATAACAGGAATGATTTTGTTGTAATTTATTTGTTAATGAAATCTATATGGTTGCCCATCTAGCCAAAAAAATAAAACATAAAATAAAAACAAAGAATTCCTTCAAAGCAAATAATCAACTAGAACTACTTTGGGGCTCAGTACAACCACAAAACCAGTGAAGGAACGCACACTTGTGCCAGAGCTCCTCTGATAACATCCCAGCCCCAAGGGCTGGGGGAAATTCATGGCCTTGTGAGAGACCAATATAGTGCAGACTACCTGTGTTACAGGTTGTCCTCGGCCATTCGTTTAGTGACAGTTTGAAGTTACAATGGCACTGAAAAAGGCGACTTATGACTTTTTAATACTTACGAGCCTTGCAGCATCCCCCAGGGTCATGTGATCAAAATTCAGATGCTTGACAACTAGTTCCTATTTATGATGGTTGCAGTATCTTGGGGGGTCATGTGATCATCTTTTGTGAGCTTCTGATAAGTCAATGAGGGAAGTCAGATTCACATTCCACAACCGTGTTATTAACTGAACAACTACAGTGATTCACTTAACAAAAGCGTGTCAGGAAAGATCGTGAAATGGGACAAAATTCATTTAGCAACTGTCTTGCTTAGCAAACAGAAATGTTGAGTTTAATTGTGGTTGTAAGTTGAGGACTTACTGTGACGTATTGTTATTATTAAGGACATTTTTCTGATTGGTGATCCTAATTTTCTATAGGTTTAGAGCAGGGGCATCAAATTTGCAACGTCATGTGACGTGTCGTGACGTATCGCGACTTTTTTTCCATTGCCAGCAATGGGGTGGGCGTGGTTTTGGCATGATGCATCTGGCCTGTGGGCCAGCAGTTTGATGCCCCTGGTTTAGAACATGTGTTTCAAGTATGGGCACCTGATCCCAGTCCTGATGCAAGGCAATCCCTGATGGTGGGAATGTAATCAGTCAATCAGGCTGGCCATTTTTGGGATTAGAATATGGCTGTCGATTAAGTGCAGTTTGTCATTGTTAAAATTAGCTTGAGCTGGAAACTGAAAATAGAAAGAATATTGGAATATTGGCCAAGAATGCTGTCTTGGATATGAACTGCTATGGACAGTCTAGGGACACTTAGTTATGTGAAATTTGTGCCGTATCTGTAATTTCATGCTCCTACCTCTGACAACTCAATATCCTTCAACATAAAGACTCAAAAATCTCTTTTGACATAGAAATGTTGCATCTCAGCTTTTAATTATTGATTGTGAAGATAAACAATCATTCGCATGATGATGTTTCTTTTCATTTGGGAAAGTTAAGTATGGTTGCAGTATGAAAATACTGTATGAGACCATTATAATACAACACTTACAGCACATAATCATCAAGCAATAAGGAATTATTCCTTTTTCACCCCAGCTGTTGTTTTTTAAAAGAATTCTCACATTTATTCATAGTAATTATATATCTTCTCTCACAGCAGAGATCCTAATTCCATAAGCACATCAGAAAAACATTTCCCAG